GTAATGCAGAGGACTCAAGTTGGCTTCTCAGGAGGCCATAGGGCTACTGGGGAATTAGCCTTGGAAAAAGATCTGCAGGATTTAATATAACCAGGTGATTTCCAATCTGTTATCAAGGCTCTATAAGAGGTCGAGCTTTTAAGGGCAGAGAGAGAGAGTTCAGGCGACAGGCATTTGTGTTTCATGAAGCTGACCCCAGTTCGATCCCTATCCCATTCTTTTGTTCCTAATCCAATAATGTTAAGCATTTTGGGGGCGGAGGGTAGAGGGTGACACTGGTGTGCTCAGGGCTCATGTCTGGTTCTGCACTCAGGGATCACTCCTAGCAATGCTTGGGGGACCATATGTAGTGCTGAGGTTTGATGCTTGCAAAGAAGGTGCCCTGTCCATTGTATTATATCGCTCTGGCCCAGATTCTAAGCTTTTAAACATGTGTGTATTTGTTTCTCCCTAAAACACAGGTAAAACCAGTCATGAGTCAGGCTGTTATGGGGCTAAGGTGATTTCATGAAATTATTACGGAAGGAGCTATTCTAGGAGAACCTCTGTCCTTTAAATGATTTTAAGAAGCCATAACCAGGTGTTAGCATAGCAGTAAGGACAGTAGAAACAAGTGCCAGGAGGATTGGTCCACAGCTGGAAGTTTGTTTCAAGTGCTTGGGGAAAAGGTAGTTGGGATAGGGAAGGCATCATTATGACAAAGATAGTTAGAAATGATCACTCTGGATAAGAACTACGTAATGAAAGTAGGTAAAGGAACAAACATGACAGTCCCTCAGTATCTGTACGGCAAACCATAATGCCCAAAAGGGGGGGAGGCGGAGAGAGTGAGAAGTACCTCCCATAGAGAGAGGTTGAAGGTGGGGTGGGGGTGGGAGGGAAACTGGGGTCATCGGTGGTGGGAAATGGACACTGGTGGAGGGATGGGTGTTAGAACATTGTATGACTGAAACCCGATCATGAACATCTTTGTAACTGTGTATCTCATGATGACTCAATAAAAAAAATTTTTTTTTTTAATGTGAACTTTAGGGACTATAGCACTAGTGCAGGAGGTGAGGCACTTGCTTCACGTGTGGCTGTGTCTGCTGGGAGCGGGGTTAGAATCCCTGACACCTCACAGGGTCCCCTGAGCACCACCAGAGGTCACTCTGAGTACAGAGCCAGGAAGAGGCCCTTAAAACCACCGGTGTGGGCCCCCAATCCAACCCAAACCAGACCAAGAGAATGTAAATTTAGAATTATTATGATTTAGCTCTTCCTTTAGTCCAGGTGTAACATGGGAAAGGGGAGGAGGGATGTGGCAGGGCTGACATGAGTGCTGGCCTCTATCCCCGGTACTGCAGAAACTGCAAAATCAGAGAAAGAAGGAAAAGCTGTTTCTCCAGTACTTGGTAACGTTGACAATGACTGGTCCTCTCTAAGCCTCACTTTCTTCACCCAGCGGCACGGGGGCCAGTCAAGATGCCACAGCAAAGCAAGGCAACAAGAGGGAGGAAAAGCAGATGAGACATATCGCCAGAGAAGAAAAAGGCGTATTTGTTGATTAGGGAGCCGGGGGTATAGCAAAATAGTAGAGCACTTGCCTTGCCTCAGAGGTCGAGTTGCAGAGTTCGATCCCTGGCATCCCCAAAACAAACAAAATGAACCGTTGTAGATCCAGGGTTAAAGTTCTGCCTGTTAAGCTCCCTGATGACTTTTTTAGCTTACAGGATAAATGGAAGCTAAAGCTTAAGAGCAGCAAGGCAGAGAAGAATTGTACATGGAGAAGGAAGAAAGACAGTCTGGAACTATCCTTATGAAGGTCAGAGAGGAAGGGGTTAAAGGATGCCGCGCCTTCCAAAGCCCACTGGGATTAGGGGCCTTAGTCTGGAGCCAGGTAGATAAGGAGGGTGGATGGAAAGTTCTGGCCAACTCAGGGAGCAGAGTTCAAAGGAGGCCAGGGGCAGTCACCTGAGAGCTGGGTTTTAAAAAGTTGAAACCACCCTTTAGAAGTCAGGCAGAGATTTCTTCATCATTTTAGTGCTCTTTCAAATGAATTTGCAAAGCCAGCTGATATGACCTGTGTGATGTTTTCTTTGAGCCTTATTTTTTTTTTTAAGTCCTAAAATTCATTGGACCAGACCCTATTAAAAGTCTCCTGTTCTGGGGGGGTGGGGTGAGGGTGCATTTAACTGCAACTTCTGCTTCCGGATATTTTTCTCATGGTCAAGTTACATGTACATTTGGGGATTAGTCACTTAAAGTCCTTTTTGACCTCTGTTTTTAAACTGTGTGCAGAGAGGCAATAGAGCTGGGTTGGGTGCTTGCCTTGCATGCAGCTGATCCCAGTTCGATCCCCAGCACTCCATTAGGATCCTGCGGGTCCCTCCAGGAGTGATCCCTAAACGCAGTGCCAGGAGTGAGCCCTGAGCACCACTGAGTGTAGTCACAAAGCAAACAGAGATGTTCCAAGGATTAAGTTCTAAAGCGGGCACCCTCTTCCCCTCTGCCTGGGCTGCTCGCGCTGGTTCCTTGTGAACCAGGACCGTGTCTCTTACTCCATGAGAGCCTGGAACCTCGCTCTCAAAGCAGCTGCCCAGCGGAGCCAGCGCTCGCCAGGGATGAGGATGTGGATCACAATAACGTTGGTCAAGATGGTCCTGTGGCGCCCGTTCAGGGGGAGAGGCACCCTCGGGATGTCATGACACTCAACAGAGTCTCTTGGGAAGGGCAGCGGGTGCCAAGATGCTCATGGAGGATGGGAACTGTGGCAAATCCAGAAATAGCCAGACCTGTGAGGAGGATGAAAGGACAGCTCAGGCAGAGGAGCAACAACAGGGGGCAGCTACCAACAAAGCGACCTACCCCTTCACCCCAGGAGCCAGTTCCTCCAGATCAAGAAGGCATTCGCAATGAGAACCCACATTCTGGCTGCTAGGGGACAGTTTTCTTTCTTTTTTTTTTTTTTTTTTTTTTTTTTTGCTTTTTGGGTCACACCTGGCGATGCACAGGGGTTACTCTTGGCTCTGCACTCAGGAGTTACTCCTGACGGTGCTCAAGGGACCATATGGGATGCTGGGAATCGAACTCGGGTTGGCTGCATGCAAGGCAAACGCCCTACTGGCTGTGCTATCTCTCCAGCCCCCGGGACAGTTTTCTTGTGGGCCTACTATGGGGAGGCTTGTGGGGTGGTTGGGAAAATGGAGCCAGTTGTGAAAGGAAGGTAACAGTGGTGATGGAGTTGGTGTTGTAAGACTGAGTGCCTGTAACAAATCATCACAAACAACTTTGTAAACTTTATTTGCTTAAATAAAATGTGTGTGTGCGTGTGTGTATAAAATCATACGGGTGAAAGTACAGCCAAATGAGACTGTTTTAAGAATACTCATTGCGGGATGTGAAAAAATGAATAAGGGTGGGGAAGCAGATGAACCCAGCAAGTCTCCAGCTGTAACTCAGAAAGAGCTCCATCAGGAGCACCAGTCCCAGAATAGGCAGCACTGTATCCTGGGGTGCTGAAGAAAATTCCTTGACTTGGGGGTCTACCATTTTCCCGAAGGTGTCCTCCAGCAACTATGAATAAATAAATAAAATGTCGAGGACACGTTAGAAACAGTCTCTCCTCCCATAGACACCAAAAGGTCAGAACAACGACCTGGTTTCCATCAGTGGGCGCACTCTTCCTGAACGTCATCTCAGAGGATGGATTTCCTGGGAGGACGTGCGCTGAGGACTGTCGCGGGCTCCATACAGGGTTATTTTCCCTTTGTGACCAGCCTGCACTTTTGTACTCACTTATTTATACATCCCATTTATGTATATTTTAATTTATATAAAACACATATTTAGATGGGCTGGAGCGATAGCACAGCGGTAGGGGTTTGCCTTGCGCGCAGCCAACCCTGCCCAAGCCGGGTTCAATTCCTCTACCCCTCTCGGCAAGCTACCGGGAGTATCTCGCCCGCATGGCAAAGCCTGGCAAGCTACCCGCAAGTATTTGATATGCCAAACACAGTAACAATTGTCACAATGGAGATGTTACTGGGCCCGCTTGAGCAAATCGATGAACAACAGGACAGTGTTTGTTGACAGTAACAACATATTTAGCTATACTTTGTACTTTCTATATCTGACGCATACATATCTTACATCTTATATGTTTACCAATGGAGACGTTACTGGGCCCGCTGGAGCAGATCGATGAACAACGGGAGGACAGTGCCAACCGTGCTAACCATATAGAAATAGATCATACATTTACACTACAGGTGTTTTACACTCAGATATTGCACTCATATCTTAATTTTTATCAAAGAGGCATGATTTACAAAGTTACCCGGAGTTGAGCTTTTGTGCAATACTTGGTTTTACTGTACAAGATTTAGTTTTAGCCCGTCACTCAACACCCATCTCTACCCCAGGGTTCCCGGATTCCCTCCCTCGCATCCGGCCCGCTTAGAATTTCCGATGCAGGCCGGGCTCAGGCCGCAGCCAGGAGGAGTCGCGGGGGAGCCCACTGGACCCTCCGACCCGCCCCAGCCGGGTCCAGCTCCCAGTCGGCTTGGCAGGCCCGCGGTGCCCGGGCGTCTGCGCCAGGCGCGGCTCCGCTCCGGCGCGCACCGACTTCCGCTCCGAGCCGGCCCGGGCGCGGGCCCCGGGGGGCGGGGCCGGGGGCCGGCCGGGCCGACGCGCGCGTGAAGCGGCCGCCCCGCGTCTCGGGAGCGCCCGGAGCCGGCGACCGAGCGCGAGCAGGACGCGGTCCCCCGCGCGGCGGTGAGCGCGGCCGGGCCCGGCGCGGGTGGCGAGAGCGCGGGGAGCGGGCGGGCGGGCCTGCGCGTCCGGGCGCCGCGACCTTCCCGGGCGGGGACGCGGGCGTCGTTGCCCACGTGCCACCCTCGGGACCTGCGGGTGCCCCCACCGCGCGCGCTGCCCCGGGGATTCTGCAGACGGGGCTCCGCGGCCTCCTGATCCGCCGCGATCAGGCTCCTTGGCCCCCCGCGTGGTGTCCTTCGGCCTCCGGGGGTGGGGGGCCGCGCGGTCGCGTTGGGGCGCTGGGGACCGCGTTTTTGCCCGGGAGACTCTCGCAGGTTGCAGGGTCGGTGTCTGGACATTTAGAACGTGACATGGAAAGTTGCAAGTGGGCTCCTAACGGTGCGTGGATCGGATGAGCATCTCGAACCCCCCGGAGGTGGAGGTGCTCCTTGTCCGGCTGTTGAGTGGCAGTACTGGTTTGCATCGAGGCCAAGCTGAGTCTCCAGCTGGAATCTTCCTGGAGGAGTCGGGCAACCTAGTGCAGAAAGCAACCCCCCCACCTTGGGAGAGAAGTGAACTTCCCCAGGGATCCAGCAGGAATGATGTCTGGTTGGCGCTGTTGTCTCACTGTACAAGTGAAGCGTCCGTTCTGCCCTGCTTTGAAAGAGGGCAAAAGGGTCGCGCAAAGGAACCAGTTCTTTCCTTGGGAAGACTCACAAATCACCCTCAGCCTTTCGTGTGAGGTCTTTTTGCAAAACTCTGCTTTGCCCACTGCTGACTTGAATCTGTTGCCAACACTGTTTTCTATCCTAGTGATGCTACAAGTAATTCATAGGATTTGTTTTAGTTAGGCTCCTCTCAAGGGGCTGAAATCATATTGGCAACTAAGTTGCCATCTCCACCATCTCTTTCCTTGAAAGAAGAGGAGATACCCTTCTGGGAGATACCCACTGTGGTATACAAAAGGGGGAAAAAATAAAGAAAAAAGTGACTGCCATAGAGGGAAGCTGGGGGGGTGGGAGGGAAACTGGGGACATTGGTGGAGGGGAGTGGACACTGGTGAAGGGATTGGGTATTGGAACCTTCTATGCCTGAAACCCAATAATGAATAACTAACTTTGTAATTCACAGTGATTAAATTTTAAACATTTTTTAAAAGGACCACAAGGAACCACGTCAAGAGACCACACTGACCGGGCCCCGTCTCTGAGGCTCCTACTTGCCCCTGTTTTTCTTCTAAAATGAGGAGGTGGGTGTCTTTGTTTTGTTTTTCCAGATAGGTTGGAATTCTCTGGGACGAAGTTTTGGTTGGTAGGCACAGTTTCAAAAGCCAGCCTGAGTCCTGTCCTCTCTCTCCTGCTGGCTTGCTGACCTTGGACAAGTCCTTGTCTCCTGGCCTCAGTTTCCAGCTGGACAAGGGGGAGGTGGGATTAGAACCCAGAGACCTTTCTCTCGAGAGCACATCTCCCTCCTTTTCCTGAGCCTGGAGCTGCAGAGCCGGTGTCTCAGAGCCGGGACTGCTGAGCTTTGTTTATTTCTTTCCTTTCTTTTCCTCCCCTTCTTTTCTTTTCCTGCTCAGGGCTTATTCGTGACTCTGTGTTCAGGGATCACTCCTGGCGGTCCTTTGGTGACCATGAGGTGCCAAGAATTGAACCACTGATCTGTTGTGCAAGTCTTACCTACCCCTTCATTATCACTCTGGACCCTGATTTCTTTCTCCTTAAGTCTTGTGCTTTTGCGGTTGTTGGTTTTAAAATCTTTTTGTAGAGAGCTAAAGAATCTTGGTTATCTGGTCACTGGTGAAATGCTTTGAGTGGTTATAAAACTTCTTGGTGTCCCAAATAATTTGATGCCCCCGATTATTTTCAGTTGACGTCTAGGCTGCCAATTGACGTTTATCGTCTATCTAGTGGGGTCCCCCTCCCGAGAGTGGGGGAGACAGGGACGACTTCAGTGTGACAAGGGACTGTACCTTGTTGTACCTTGTGATACATAGAAGTTTCCTCCCCTGGCTTGAAAGCCATGAAGAGATACTTGTCAAATTATTCTAATCTTCCTTGTGAAAGTCACTTTTTCTTTTTCTGTCACCTTTTACATGTTCCTGCCTTTGCCTCCTTGCCTTTTGTATAATGATAGAGAAGTAGACTTTTTGCTTTCTCACAGTTACTCAGACTCCTGCCCAAGTGTACTCAATTAAGATTTCCAGGAACTGATACCCGGTTATTTGAACTTGTGGCAAGTGCCCTGAGTCTTGTCAAGCAAAGTTGGGGTGCATAAACTCAGTTTCTTCTTCAAGTGTGATTAGTCACTATATATCAGCTCCTCTGGGCACAGATAAGAAGCAGCAGCATGGTTGGTCCCACCTGAGGCCAGCTATGGAGTCTGCACTAAAAAAATGTTTGGGCGCCACATATCTGGCGGTGGTCTGGAGTTACTCCTGGCTTTGTGCTCAGGGTTGGCTCTCAGCAGTGCTCAGAGGATCACGTGGCACCAGGAATCAAGTTGGGGTTGGCTATAAGCAAGTCAAGTGCCTTAATCTCTATCTCACTGGTCCAGGGATCTCATTTTAGCAAGGTTTAAAGGCCGGGCTTCCCTTGCTCAAGGCTTGGGGGACCTTGTGGTGCTGGGATCAAATCTGAGGCTCCGTCATGCAAAGCATGTGCTCGAGTCCCCCGGGCAATCTTGCCCTAACTGTGTGCTCTATCTGTACCCAAAGAGCATGTCTATAGGGAGCTGGAGAGATAGCACAGCAGGTAGGGCGTTTGCCTTGCATACGGCCGACCCGGCTTCGATTCCCAGCATCCCATTTGGTCCCCCGAGCACCGCCAGGAGTAACTCCTGAGTTCAGAGCCAGGAGTAACCCCTGTGCATTGCTGGGTGTAACCCCCCCCCCCCCAAGAAAAGCAAAAAAAAAAGCATGTCTGTAGTCACAGCATGTGGTTATTTGTATTGGCCTTTGTACCTCACAATGGAAGTTGTGCTTTGGTTTCTTTGCTGCTTTGATCCAAACCAAACCAAGAGAATGTAAATTTAGGATGATTGCGACTTAGCCCTTCCTTTATTTAGTCCAGGTATAACATGGGAAGTGGGAGGGGGGATATGGTTCAGCAGCAAAATGCAGGACCGACATGAGTGCTGGCCTTAACACCTTAAAAATTAACACTCTTGGGGCTGGAGCAATAGCACAGCGGGTAGGGCATTTGCCTTGCATGCAGCCGACCTAGGTTCGATTCCCAGCATTCCATATGGTCCCCCGAGCACCGCCAGGAGTAATTCCTGAGTGCATGAACCAGGAGTAACTCCTGTGCATCTCCGGGTGTGACCCAAGAAGAAAAAAAAAATTAACACTCTTTTTTGGGAGAATGCATCAAATGTTTACTATGCAAATACGATTTTTAAAAAAGTAGGCACCGCGATTTACAGTACTATTAATGATAGTTTCATGTATACAGTGTTCCAACAGCAGCCCCTGTTTTAGGGCTTCTGGGGTGTCTTCTGGGGCATCAGAGCAGCAGGTGAGCATCTAGCCTGTGAGCATCCGGTAACCCTCTTGGGGACTCCCCCTGGCTGTGTCTGCATTTAGAGCAGACAGGTCACTGGGAGTTCAGTGCCCGTCTCTGAAAAACCGAGTTTGCTCACTGGGGATGTATGTGCTGTGGGTGTACTCTTTGGAATTCATTTCAAAGGTTTCCAGAAAGGCTGACATGCCTCCACTGGTTTGGGGAGAAGGGTTTTGAGGTGTGAGCCTTTTGGGGGGAGGTGGTGGGTGGGGCTGATGAATACTGATCGCTCCAGCTAAGCCGTGCAGGTTCCACAGAGAGGCCCCATTGTGGAACCGATTCCTGGCTTCCCAGAAGGCCAGGCCACGACCCAGGCAGCTGGCCTCCAGGCGAGAAGGCTGCGGAAACCAACTGAGCACTTGCTTCCTGCCAGGGACACGAGGTGCCTGCCCTAAGCTGCAGAGAGTGACTTTCGCCAGACCCCGGCCGCCAAGCGTGAGAAGATGAAGAGCAATCCGGCCATCCAAGCGGCCATAGACCTGACCGCGGGTGCTGCAGGTAACCCGGGAGCATGTGCAGTTCTCTAGAGAGTAACCCTAAAGCCATAAGCTTGCTTTCCCTGGGAATAAATCCCCTTAAAAAAGGGTCCTGGGTGTCTGCTCTTCGCATGGATGAAAGTTGCCTAGCATTCCCCCCTGTTTTTTTTTTTTTTCAATTTTGCTTTTTGGGTACACCTGTTGATGCTCAGGAGTTACTCCTGGCTCTGACTTGGGTTCGATTCCTGGCATCCCATCTGGTCTCCCAAGCAGCACCAGTGCTAGACGCATTGGGATAGCATTGCCGGTCTCTGGATTTCAGAATTCGGCCAGTGCTCGGCAGGAGCTGGAATGTGCTGCTCCCTTTGCCTCCTGCACGGATTCAATTTTGTTTTGGGGGAGGGAGGCACAGCCAGGTGTGCTCTGGGCTTACTCTTAGCTCTGTCCTCCCAGAGATCACTCCTGGAGGGCTCGGGGGACTAAATGGGGCGTTGGAATGAAACTCAGATTGGGTGCATGCAAGGTAGGAGCCCGGCCTGCTGTATTATCTCTGGCCCTGCTGCGCTGATTTTCAATGTCGTTTTTGCAACAGTTGTGTGTTTGGTTTGGGGCCCAGGCCAGCTGATCCAGCCTTGTGCTCACGAGCATCTCTCCTAGCGGTGCTCAGGGGACCCTGCGGCTTTGGGGGGTGAACCTGGGCATCTGCACGCAAAGTAGGTGCCCTGGCCTCTGAGTCGTCTCTCCAGCTCCTCACTGTTTCTCAGAGTGGGTTGCAGCTCCCTAGAGTGAAGAGGCCAGAGGTTGGGCTGTCCACTGTCCTCTTGGTCAGTGGGACATCCTGGGTCAGCAGATCAAGTTGTGGTCACAGGGCCACCTCCTGTTTTCCTGCCATTCTCTTGGTTCAGAGAGGAACACAGTGTGTTTCCCTGAACCAAAGGTCGAGGCAGGCTACCCCAGACGGCCCGAGCCAGCACATTACAGGCGCTGATAAGAAGAGCAGGGCCTGGACCTGGCTGCTGGATTGCAGGTCACGGAGCGTGCCCTGCCCCGAGCAGGGGCCATTGAGGGCTCCTCGGTTCTGTGCCAGTAACCTCCTGCCTAGAGGGTTGGCTTCCACGCTGCTGGGGTCAGGCTGCAGCTCCCCAGACTAAGTGCTCTGACTAGGGAACCTGTGAGCAGTCACCTGCCTCTGGCTGTGCAGGCTGCACTCTGGGCTCAGATCTGCCATTGAGTGGGTCTCAGCTCAGTAGACTGAGCTTTAAGCAAGTGCAGAAATATTGGATCCTTGGACATTCTTCCCAGGGGCAGTGCCTGGACAGCTATTTGAGAATCTGCTGGTATTAGACCCCACTGGCTGGTGCTGACATTCAGCATGGTCATACCCACCGGGGAGGCTCAAGGAGGGACTACACGTGGTGGGTGCGAGGGTGGGACCTCCGTGTGGAGAAGAACACAGGAAGTGGGCTGGTTTCCAGGAAAGGAGTGAAACTTTATTAACCACCTACCTTGGAAATGCCCCTTTCCCGCCCATGATAGGCCACCAGTATTACAGCCTCTGATGGTTTAACTGTTCAGGATCATTGGGATAAATTATGAAAGACTTCCAGCTAATTACTGTTATAATCATTGTCATCATCATTTGGCTTTGGGGTGATACCCCTGGCTCTGTGCTCAGGGATTACTCCTTGCAGTGCTCTGAGAACCATATAGGGTACCAGGTTTTGGATCCAGATTGGCCGCATGCAAGACAGTGCCTTAACTCCTTTTTTTTTTTTTTTTGCTTTTTGGGTCACACCTGGTGATTCTCTGGAGTTACTCCTGGCTCTGCACTCAGGAATCACTCCTGGTGGTGCTCAGGGGATCATATGGGATGCTCGGAATTGAACCCAGGTTGGCTGCGTGCAAGGCAAATGCCCTACTCGTTGTGCTAGCACTCCAACCCTTAACTCCCGTACTGTATCCCTGACCCCCAGCTAAATTATTAGTGCTCGTAATTAAATGCCTTATTCAGCTTCTCTGCATCAGGCCTATCCAGATTATGTGCCCATTAAAAAGCATCTGGATTTCATCCCCTTGGATAAGACGAGGATCTTATTTTATTCCAGCCCAGCAGTAAGTGAGAGTTAGAATACCACTCTAATTCTAGTGCCCATTTACTAAATTATAGCCCACACATTCAGAATTGGGGTTAGATATAGGACAAATCAGAAGTCAGTACTCTCTCGAAGGAAAAAGTGGTGCTTATGGGATTCCAGAGCACACACACTTGTGATTGCAAAGAGACCAGTTTTTTTTAATTTATTTTTTTTTATTAGTGAAGCACCTTGAGGTACAGTTGTAGACTTACAGATGTTTGTGCTTGGTTTTCAATTATACAATGATCGAGTACCCATCCCTCCACCACTGCCCATCCTCCACCACCACTGATCCCAGTACCCACCCACCCCCCAACCCCCCATCCTACCCTTGCCTTTGTGGCAGGGGATTCCCCTTTGTTCTTTCTCTCCTTTTGGGTGCTGTGGTTTGCAAAAGAGGCACCAGAGAGGCAATTATGCTCAAAGAGTTTTTAGGCTCTTTGGAAATCTGTTTTTCTGCCAGGGATTAATTTAAAGTCAATCTTCTTTTTTTGGTGGGTGGGTTCACAAGTGGTGCTCAGGAGGTTTTGGGGGCCCCACAGATCATTCTCAGCCAACTGAGGCTGGTGGTTTAACGCAAGGACCTGAAGCTGTGATGCTGCTAGGCCTTCTGGTGTTGAAGGTTCCCATGTCACCCCAAAATTGGCGGCCCAAGGCCACACCTAGCGGTGCTTGTAAGCCTCTGGTGCTATACCCCAGTGATGCTCAGGGCACCATGTGGTGCCATAGTACGTGCATGCTAGATGTGTGTCCTAACTGCTGTACTGCCTCCCACCTCAAGAACTGATTTGGGAGGTCATTCTTGGCTATGCTCGGGACTTCTCCTGACAGTGCTTAGGGAACCAGGTGGTGTCTGGGATCAAACCCAGGCCCCCTGCATGCAGAGCCCATGCTCAGCCCACTGAGCTTTCTCTCCAGTCCTCATTTTTAATGAGACTTGAATAACCCTGCTTGGTGGTTCTGTTTCCTGATATACACAGAGGATGTGCCTGGCCCAACGCAGGGATGACAAACCAGCAGAAGTCCCCCAAAATGCTGGCCTGGGGCTGGGATGGGACAGGACATGCTTCATTCTTCTCCTTACCTCAGACACCCTGTTGGCTCACCTAATGAGATTTAGATTGGTCTGCCTTTAATAGTCTGTAGTCTGAAAGGATATCAAGGAGGGTTTATACTAAAGTACAGTCAAGTTTCAGTCTGTGCCCTGTCTGGGTACACACCTCTAATTGGTAAGGTTCAAATGAGATGTTTTTCCACTGGGTCAAACATCGAAGTCTCGAGGGATTAATTAGCTCTGCATGTTGCCTCCCCCTTGGTTATTTATTCTTGGCTGATACCCCGGGCTTTGGAAGGGAAGAGTGAGCTGCCCTTTTAGGCTCTTTCTTCCCCTTCCTTTGATATGGCCCCGACACGCGCAGAGCACTGCGGCCAAGTCACTGCTTGCATTCGGCCTTTTCCTTGCCATCTGTGCTCTGTCCCCAGGCTGTCCCGCGCGCTGGGTGCAGAACAGAGGTCAAGGCCCAGGTACCCCAGGTAGAGCAGACCCCAGGGTGGAAGATCCTCGGTGTGCATCCCACCTTGCCATTTGCTTTTGTGACTTTGTTGTTGAACACAGCTTCTGTCTCCCCGTGTGTGTGTGTGTGTGTGTGTGTGTGAGAGAGAGAGAGAGAGAGAGAGAGAGAGAGAAAGAGAGAGAGAGAATCAATATCCAACTCTTCCACTGTGTGTGGGGGGGGGAGGGAGAGAGAGGGGGAGGGAGAAAGAGAATGAGAGGAAACCTCAGTATCCAACTCTTCCAACCATGTGACCGTAGCATGTGTGTGTGTGTGTGTGTGTGTGTGTGTGTGTGTGTGTGTGTGTTTCCAGGCACACTAGGGACCCCTGGGTCCCACGGGAAGGCTGGAGGTGTAGGGGGAGAAGAGGTCCAGCCGAGCAGAAGCAGAGGCAGCCCTGGGTCGCCTTGGGGCGGCTGGCTCAGGCTGAGTGGTGGGGGTCTCATCCTGGTTGCAGGGGGCACGGCCTGCGTCCTGACCGGGCAGCCCTTCGACACGATGAAGGTGAAGATGCAGACGTTCCCCGACCTGTACCGCGGCCTCACCGACTGCTGCCTGAAGACCTACTCCCAGGTGGGCTTCCGCGGCTTCTACAAGGGGACCAGCCCGGCGCTCATCGCCAACATCGCCGAGAACTCCGTCCTCTTCATGTGCTACGGCTTCTGCCAGCAGGTGGTGCGCAAAGTCATCGGGCTGGACCCGCAGGCCAAGCTGAGGTGGGTGGGGCCACGGTGCCGTTTGTTCCCCAAGGACTTACCGGCCCAGGCCAGGAGGTGGCTTGCAGGGCGGGCGGGGCGGGAGCACAGGTGTGCGCTTGGGAACCCCAATTTATTCCCCTCCCCCCACCCCCTGGTTCCCCACAGCAGCGCCTGGAGCACCCACACCCCCAGCACTGCCAGGTGCGGCCCCCCAAAACAGACACTGTTGTCTAGCCTGGATTCGCTGGGTGCTCTCTAGCCAGTGTTTTTGTCACACTTCCTGTTCGTTGCATTAAAATTTGTATTTGGTTTTGTCTTTTGGGTGCAAACACCCCACGCTGTTCATGACTTACTCCTGCCTCTGTTCTCAGGCACCTGTTGGGGCTCAGGGGGACCCTAGGCGGTGCTGGAGGTCGAACACAGGTCAGCTGCATGCAACCCTACCTGCTGCACTCTCTCCAGCCCCATTTTCTGATACTTTTTTTTTTTTGACTTTTCAAATTTTTTAAATTTTTTAATTTTTTTTAGTGAAACACCATGAGGTACAGTTGTAGACTTACAAATTTTTGTGCTTGGGTTTCAATTATACAATGATCAAATACCCATCCCTCCACCAATGCCCATTTTCCACCACCATGGATCCCAGTAACCCTCCCACCCCCCATCACCCCATCCCACCCTGCCTCTGTGGCAAGGCATCCCCTTTTGTTCTCTCTCTCCTTTTGGGTGTTGTGGTTTGCAAAAGAGGCATTGAGTGACAATCATGTTCAGTCTATACTCTACTTTCAGCATGCATCCCCCTTCCTGGGAGGCTCCTCCCAACACCCTGTATTTTGTGCTCCCTTCTCTATCTAAGCTGCCTTTTCCCCTAGCATGTGTGGCTGGTCTCCAAGCCATGGAGCAAAATTCCTGGTACTAATCTTGGCCACTCTTGGGTGTTAGTCTCCTATTTTGTTACTTTATGTTGCCCAGATGAATGCAATCTTTCTATTCTATCCTGCTCTTTCTGTCTCATTTCACTTAACATGATACTTTCCATGTAGTACCACTTGTATGTAAATTTCATGACTTCATCTTTTCTAACAGCTACGTAATACTCCATTGCTGATACTTTTTTTTAACCTATTTTTTTTTTAAAAGATCAGCTCTTTCTTTTCTGATTAGAAGCCTTACATAGATTTCAGGCCTCGGGAAGTATGAGCTGCATAGCCCAGGCGTCTCAGCACTCCTTGGGGATGCAGACTATCTCCAGCACCATCTTACAGGAGCAGACCCACAGGAGTCCGTGAGGTGCTGGAGTCAAAACACAGCAGAGGGCGAGGACCTCGGCTTGGGCCTCTGTTTCATCAGCAAAATGCAGAATATTGAAAGAGGTTGCCTGAGCAAATAGGGCTGAGGAGAAACTTGAAATTTGGGCATCTGAGAAGCAGCAGGTGAAGCTCATGGGGTTTTCTTGTTTGTTTTGGCGGAGTGTCCGGGAACTTTGGATCCTGGTTTGAGCTTGGTCATTCCCGGGCCTTTTCTCAGAGCTGAGAAGAGTTCAGGGATCTGTGGGACGTTTAGCTAATCCTTCTTTGAATGTTGATTTTCTTTTGTATTTTGAGTTTTGGGGGTACACCCAGCTGTGTTCAGGGATCACAGAGCCAGGCAGGGGGTCCATCAGGGCTATCGGGGATAAAGTCCAGGGCTGCCACACTCAAGGCTAGCACTCTGCCCACTGTACTATCTCACTATCCCTGAATATTGATATTTGTAAAAATAATTTGATTTTTTGTTTTTGTTTCTGGCAGTGTTCTGGGACTATTCCCAGCTCTGTATTGGGGATAAAGGAGCGGTGGGGGGGGGGGGGGTAGGGGTACTTGGAAGACGATTTGGTGCAAGGGATCGAATCTGAGCCTTCATGGGCTAAGCATGTGCTCCAACCTTTGACCATTTCCCCCACCCCAATAAATTATTTGAAATTAACGTATTATCTTCATGATATCTGAGGTCAGTGCTACTGGTGGTCTTGTTAGGGTATAGGGACTCAACATCACGGCTGACCCTATTGGAGCCCTGATACCATGGGGATCCCTGAGTACTACTAGGTACAGCCCTGGAGACTCCCAAGCACTGTCATTTTGTTCCAGGGAGCCCTGGCCCCCAGACCCCAAACAGCATGGCCTCCTCGGGCCTTGTATGGAGCCAGTAGGTCAGGAATTGCCAGGAGGAACCCTGACCCACTGAGCCCTACCCCAGATGTCCCACCACAAAGCACCATGCTTCATCATTACTTTCTCATGTATGGAGGTTTTTGAGATCATCTTGGTTTATAGAAGACGATGCATGTTTTAGGGGTAGAGTTGCACAGTTTCCAAAAGTCGGATCCCACACCAGGCCCTTGAACAAGTCCCTCCATCCCTTCCCCACAGTGTCAGACCCTCACACTTTGGGGACCTCATTCTGTAGAGAGAATCTTAGGGTTTGGTGGCCGGAGGAATGGGACAGGGGTTAAGGCATTAGTCTTATACACGGCCGACCCTGGTTCGATCCTGGCACCCAGTAAGTATGGTCTCCTGAGCCTTGCCAAGGACTGACCCCTGAGCACTGTCGCAGTATGGCTGGGCATGGTCCCTAGAGAAGTAAACAGGTTCAAAGACAGTTTATAAAAATATGCTGGAGGAAAGAGAACTAGGCACAAGCAGGAAAGGAGGCACCAGTGTGTGTGTGTGGGGGGGGGGGCTGGGGTTCGCTGTTGGCAGTTTCTGCAGTGGTCATTTGTGTGCTCTAGGTTTGGATGCTACCCCATTGGGTTCCTCGATGACTTTTGCATGAACAGACAGACAGATGGACGGGGTCTCACTCAGCAGCACTGTTCAGGGCTCTGTGCTGGATGGTGAAACAACGACAGTGGAGCCTTGCAGAGCCCAACCTCCCAGCCCCTGCCCCCCTGACACGTTCCAGTTCCCAGTGCTCATCCGGCAGGTGTGGTCTGGGGCCAGGCTGCCTGGCTCAATGCATTGGGCAGTGACAGGGTTTACAGGAAGCAACAGTCCCTGTATATCTGACGGGCCTCACCCTTGCACTGCCACTGGGTGCTGGTGTGGCCTCACCACTGGCCTTAGATGCCCCAGCTGTGGGCACAGGTGCCACCATTGCTCGGCAAGCCTGGCGAACTCAGTTCTCAGCCCTGATGCCCGTCAACAGGTGGACAGGTCAGAGGGAGGCCCCGATGGGCTCTGCAGGCCGGCACGGTGGCAGAGAGAGCAGAAACACTTCAACTTTGGTATTTTTATTTTTTATTTTTTGCCTTTTTATTCACATTCCTCATGGCTTTCTCCAGAAGATCCGAAAGTACACGTTAACATACACATGAAGTCCAAATGCCGGGAGACTCTGGCATAGACTTTCCCTTATAGACTGGTATCACAGGAAGTTTGTTACACATTACCAGGATTATTTCCTTCCTGGCTGAACTTTTGCAAGCACCGCATCCCATGATCCAAACAAAATAGGTAGGGTTTACTGAAAGGGCCTTTTTTGACATTGCAAATAGTTATGAGGGGACTGAGTTATCTCCTATGTCAACTTTGGTCTTGACCAGCGAGCTAAGTGAAGGAGCAATGAGTGGCCGGTGGCCACGCGCTGTAGATTCCCACTCTGGCTCGCTGGGTGCTCCTCAGACTACAGGACGAGCTGGCATATGGTTCTCTAAAGTGAAACAGACCTTTTGTCAGCAGCGTCTCCCTCCGGGAAGGAAGCCCAAACCCTCCTTCTGAGAGATGGGGCTGGGGGAGGCCAGTTTGAGGCTCTAGGCTGCTGTCGTGCACACACCTCAGCATGGAAGCCAGGACTCCCACTGAGTAGAAAGCAGCATTGTGTGTGTGTGTGTGTGTGTGTGTGTGTTTAATTAAAAAATTTTTTTTTTCTTTTTGGATCACACCCAGTGATGCTCAGGGGTTACTCCTGGCTCTGCACTCAGGAATTACTCCTGGCGGTGTGTGGGGGACCATCTGGGATGCTGGGGATTGAACCCGGGTCGGCCTTGTGCAAGGCAAAAGCCCACCTGCTGTGCTATCGCTCTTACCCCAGGAATGGTTTTATGCTCAGGTTTGACACCAGTTCAGGGAAATCTTGGGGGATGTGACCCCGGGGACTTGGGGGAGTCTATGAGAGGTCCTGGTTGGTGTCATTAGGGAGCCCATTTCCCAGCTGTGAGTACGTCCGTCCTGCCCGCTGCAGACACCCCTGCACCCTGTCCTACTGAGCTGCCTGCACCCTGTACTACCAAGCTGCCTGGGAAGTGCCGGCTCAGGTCGTGCTCCAGAACTTCTTAGAGCTTCAAGTTGAGCACAGAAATGTGGGTGGGGCTGTTCACAGAGCCAGCACTGAGTTGTCAGCTCGCCTGTGTTGCTTTTAGCCTGCTGGCGGCTGTGTGACTGGGTTATTATCACTTCCAGGTTTTGCACCCCTCATGGAAGTTGGGGCGCTGCTGTCCATTTAATTAATTAATTAATTAATTTTAAATGTAGGAGTAAAGTAAAGGCCCTCCCGTTGATCATCGATTTGCTCGAGCGGGCCCAGTAACGTCTCCATTGGAGACTTTGTTGTTACTGTGTCTGGCATATCTAATACTCTCGGTAGCTTGCCGGGCTCTCCGAGAGGGGCGGAGGAATCGAACTCGGGTCGGCCATGTTGGCTGCGTGCAAGGCAAACGCCCTACCACTGTGCTATCGCTCCACTGCTATTTATTCAGCCATTGATTAAGAGGATTGAATTGGGCATGAACTCCACATTAATTTTTTTTTAATCACCGTGAGATACAGTTACAAAGCTTCCATGTTCGAGATTCAGCCATATAATGATCAAACACCCATTCCTCCACCAGTGCACATTTTCCACCACCAGTGTCCCCAGTATCTTCCCCTCCCCCATCCCAGTCCTCACCCTGCCTCCGTGGCAGGCAATTTCCCCAATACTCTTGCTGTGTTTTGGGGCATTATGTTTTGCTTGAATTTTCCCACCACCATTCAAGCCTCCCTGCCAGGGGCAGATGCTAGATCATTTATTGTCCCTTGCTTATTTTGAATATCATGGGTGCCACGGCCACGTGCTTCTGGAATCCTAGTTGTAAGTAATTTGGTTCCAGAGACATTTCTGTAGGGCAATAATCCATTTTGGGATTCACTTGGGCATCTCTGGACCAGGGTTGTTGGTGTGTTAAGATGATGCCTGGAGGCACATTGTGGGGGTGACAGCCAGGCGGATGAGTGGGTGGGGAGCCAGGGAGGGACAGCCCGGCACCTCTGCAGCCATGTGGCATGGAGATTTAGTTCTGGAACCTGCATACCTGGGCCTTGCTTGTGAAAACTCTTGGTCACCGGGATTCCATCTGGAGTAGGCGGGGAGACTTCACCTGCTCCATCTGGGGTACCCCGGTGACATTGGCTCAGTATGGGGCCCAGAGAGATTCTGGTTCTGTGGGGTCTTCCAGGACTTACTGCTGTGTCCTGGCTTTTGATCCCTTTTGAGATTTATTTATGGGTCTCTGAAGCAAGGCCTGTAATAGAGATTACATGGTGGCGCAGGAGTCGGTTCGTGTGGGTGACTGCCAGTGCTTCCATGTGTATTGGGAAGTGGGGGGAGGTAGCCCACTCCAACTCCATGAAAGCCTAGAGATTTCAGTGACAAAACCCGCATACCCAAATGTTCAGCAGATTATGTCTTGGTGAGGTTCATCCTGAGATGGTTGAGTCAGATCAGGGGTATGGCGGTGATTTTGGATTGTGGAAGCAGGCAGCTGCCGGGGGCTCTGCCTGGGCAGACACAGGCCAACCTGCCCCCTCTGATTTGCCCCAGTCTGTTCAGCCATGCGTGGTCTGAGATTAACTGTGGCTTTTGATCTCTTTCTGTCTCTGAAATAAGGCCAATAAATGGGTTTGTATAGCTGAGCTGAAGGTGGTTTCTGGGCAATGCTCCCATATACCTAACTTTCGGTTCTTTAATTTCTTGATAAACTTGCTCCCAAGTTGTTGGGTTCTGGCCAAAGGCACAGTGGCAGTTTTGGGGTATCAGGAAGCCTTAAGGCATCATCAGGCTGCAGATGCACTCGCCCTGCAGCTACAGATTGACCTGTTGCCAGCACTATACCCCTTGCTACTGTTCATTTTAAAGCTCTAAGGAATTCTTTAAGATCTTTTGCAGTGCCTGAGATGGGACCCAGGGCCTCACACAAACTCTACTATTGAGCTACATGATTCTTTTTTCCTTTGTTTTTCTATTTTTTTTCTTTTTGGGGGTGGGGTACGGGGTTTGGGGTCACACCCAGAGGTGCTCAGGGGCTATTTTCTTTTTTTTTTTTTATTTTTATTTTTTTTTATTTATTTATTTTTTTTAATTTATTTATTGAATCACTGTGGGAAAGGTTACAAAGCTTTCAGGTTTATGTCTCAGTCATGCAAATATCAAACACATTTCCCTTTACCAATACTTATTTTTTCCCATAAAACCCCACCCCCCACCCCTCCCCGTCCCTGTGAGGCAGATGAATTCTAGTTAACACTCTATCCGCTTTGATTAGATTGTTTCAATAAAAGATTCGCCACTATTATTTAGAGTTTACCCCCCCCCCCCCAAATCAGACATGCTGAAAAAGCATTGTGAAGTGATTTGCTTTCTACAGCTGGGTTCAAGAATTAAATGTTGGTTTTGGATTTCTGCTATTTTACCTATTGACCCTGGAAGTATTTCTACTGAAAGTCAGATAGTTAAGAAATTGGTTTCTGTGTTCTGGAGTCGTGGCCGTGCTGGAGAGCCGCTCGTGGGGGGCAACTGGTGGCCTCGGTAGGGCGTGAAGGGCGGAGCGAAACGCCCCCCTTCCCATGAGGTTTTAGTCGCCCCCACACTCCCGGCTCATACCTGCTGTCCACAAGGCTCCCATGTGGCCGCCATCTTTCTTTCCAGAGAGGAGAGGGCGAATGGGGCAACACCCTTTCCCCTCCGGCAGACTTGATGGGCTGGATCAACGCATAGTCCATTCACTTTTCTGCTCCAAGCTGCTGGGTTCTGCATTAAGTCCTTGTGCTTCTGGGGCCATGGCCGTGCTGGAGAGCCGCTCGCGGGGGGCGACTGGTGACCTCGGTAGGGCGTGAAGGACGGACCGGAACGCCCCCCGACCCATGAGGTTTTAGTCGCCCCCACTCCCCCGGCTCATACCTGCTGTCCACAAGGCTCCAATGTGGCCGCCATCTTTCTTTCCAGAGAGGAGAGGGCGAATGGGGCAACACCCTTTCCCCTCCGGCAGACTTGATGGCCTGGATCAATGCATAGTCCGTTCACTTTTTTGCTCCAAGCTGCTGGGTTCTGCATTAAGTCCTTGTGCTTCTGGGGCCGTGGCTGCGCTGGAGAGCCGCTCGTGGGGGGCAACTGGTGACCTCGGTAGGGCGTGAAGGACGGACCGGAACGCCCCCCTTCCCATGAGGTTTTAGTCGCCCCCACACCCCCGGCTCATACCTGCTGTCCACAAGGCTCCCATGTGGCCGCCATCTTTCTTTCCAGAGGGAGGAGGGCGGAAGGGAGCAACACCCTTTCCCCTCTGGGCAGAAATGATTGCCTGGATTAACGCATAGTCCTTTCACTTTTCTGCTCCAAGCTGTTGGGTTCTGCATTAAGCCCTTGTGCTTCTGGGGCTGTGGCCGTGCTGGAGAGCCGCTCGTGGGGGGCAACTGGTGACCTCGGTAGGGCGTGAAGGACGGACCGGAACGCCCCCCTTCCCATGAGGTTTTAGTCGCCCCCACACCCCCGGCTCATACCTGCTGTCCACAAGGCTCCCATGTGGCCGCCATCTTTCTTTCCAGAGAGGAGAGGGCGAATGGGGCAACACCCTTTCCAGGGGCTATTTTCTGGCAGTGCTTTAGATATCAGTTGCAGTACTGGGGATCAAAGCAGGCTCAGCCGTGTGTAGGGCAAACTCCTTACCCGCTATCCCATCCTCCCACCCACCCCATGAGTCTAAAGGATACAGCACACGGCGTCGAGGGGGACATTTCTCCGCTCTGTTTTGGCTCTCCCTTATCAGCAGTGCTGGAGGGCGGTGAGCGCTGGTGGGCACTTGTCTGAGTTTGTCCTGCTGGAGGATGGTGAGCCCTATGGTCATTTACCTGTGCTTTACCTTGCAGTGATCTGCAGAACGCGGCTGCGGGCTCCTTCGCCTCAGCCTTTGCTTCTCTGGTGCTCTGCCCCACCGAGCTGGTGAAGTGCCGGCTGCAGACCATGTTTGAGATGGAGTCATCTGGGAAGGTGGCCACGGGCCAAAAGTAAGTCCCACTGTGCACATGCCCTCCGTTTCCTGGGGCCTTGGTGGAGAGAGTATCTTGTTTGCTTTGGGGCCATACTTGGCGGTACTCAGGGCATAATCCTGACTTTGTTCTCTGTGCCCTGGTCTGTGCTTTGCGCTCTGAAGGGCTCAGATAGGATCCTAGGGGTTGAACTCAGGTCAGATGAGCACCCTAACTGCTGTATTATCAGGTTCCTGGCTGGAGTATTTTGAAGTTTCAGACAATATGAAAATGAGGTGTCAGAGAGAGACACAGATTTGTCTAAGTAAGTAAGTAAAGGCCCTCCCGTTGATCATCGATTTGCTCAAGCGGGCCCAGTAACGTCTCCACTGAAGACTTTGTTGTTACTGTGTCTGGCATATCGAATACTCTTGGTAGCTTGCCGGGCTCTCCGAGAGGGGCGGAGGAATCGAACTCAGGTCGGCCATGTTGGCTGCGTGCAAGGCAAACGCCCTACCCGCTGTGCTTCCAGTATACTTGCCCCTCCCAATCAGAGGATAATGCCAGAAGGCTGGACCTCCCACATGGCCCTCTCAGAGTATCACGGACAGACAGCTCACATTCCAGCATTAGGGAAGGCAGGGGTGTCCTCTTGACCTGTGAGCCTGAGATCTGGGCTCCCGAGGGCCCATGGAATTCTGACCTGTGTGATGTATGTTTAAATGCATTGTTGGAGGGGTGGCGAGCATCCCTGGCTAGACTTTGAGCTTACTCCTGATGTTGTGCTCAGTGTTCATTCCTGGTGGTGCTTCAGGGACCGTATATGGTGCCAGGGAGCAAATCTGGCTGCGTGCAAAGCAGGCCATTTGTCTGTTGGACTATCTTTCCAGCCACTAAATGCATTTTAATGAAATAACGATACCATTGAACACTAAGGTGAAAAACCATGTTCAAATTGTATCAGTGCCAGAGATCCTGCCACAGAATTCTTTTCTTCTCTGAATTCTGGTTTCTCTGTCTATAAAATCAACTGCTCTCTTCTCTCTCTCTCTCTTTCCCTCCTCTCTTGCCTCTCTCTCACTCCCTCCCTCTCTCTCTCCCCCCTCTCACCTTTCTTCCCTTCTTCCCTCCCTTTCTCCCTCCCTCCCCACCCTCACTCTCTCCAGTAAGCCTCTCTGTCCATCTACCCCCTTTGTTTTTGGGTCACACCCCAGTAGTGCACAGGGCTTACTCCTGGCTCTGCACTCAGGGATCACTCCTAGCGGATTTTGAGGGACCATCTGGGGTACTGGGGAGTGAACCCGGTTCCCTCTGTGTGGGAGAAGTGCCCGACCTGCTGGATTATCTTTCTGACTCCAGATCTCTGGTTTCTGGCTGGAGTTCCATCAGGTCTGTCACGGTCTGAGCTCCCTGTCACCTTGCACCCTGTCCTAACTGTCTCTCTGTGTCTCTTCCCAGCACAGTCTGGTCCGTCGTGAAGGGCATCCTTGGCAAGGATGGCCCCATGGGCTTCTACCATGGACTCTCGAGCACGCTCCTTCGAGAGGTTCCCGGCTATTTCTTCTTCTTCGGCGGCTATGAGCTGAGCCGTTCTTTCTTTGCAGCTGGAAGACCGAAGGATGAGCTGGGTAAGTGGCAGCCTTGCCAGCACTTGGCTCGCATCGTGTCTGCTCCCTGTGGCTGACTCCATCACTGCAGACCCTGCCCGGGGACCCCCTCACTGGGCTAAGTTTCTGGAGGCTGAAGGGATGTGGTGCAGGTGGTCAAACTTCAGTAATGCCCAAGGCTGGTGTTGAAGCATTCTGTCCCAAACTTCCTCCCCAGGAGAACATGTTCTCATGTCTCTAGATCCATCTCGGGAAAACAGCAGTGTGGCCATCACTGTCCCAATGGGAAACCATTGATAAATAAAAATCCCCTAAAAGCCACCCTGCAATAAGCTTAAAATTTGGTTCTAAGGTTTAATCATGTTTTGAGAGCAGAGGAAAGTGTGGTTCTTCCTAACATGTCCTGTTAGCTGCTTGATGTATCAGTGGTGCTTAAAAAAACAAACAAACAAACAAACTCCATTCAGTACTGGATTGAAGTATATTGGATTTATTTCTGGTGATGGGAGGAGTTAATCAAGTTCTCAGGCCTGTTCCATTTAGTTAGATGACTTTGGTCATTTCACGGGAAAGGGAAGTCAGGGCCATTGGGCATTCGGCTGTTACTGGGGTGAGCAGTCTGGAGATGGAGCCTGTTGTCTGAGGGGCTTCTCCTCTCCCACAAGGCAGGGACCCTGCCATGCTGCCGGGGCCTGGTGCTTCTGCATGGGTCTGCCCTGAGCAGCTGAGGTAGGAGCCACGCCACCATGCCAGCCCAGCCCTCAGCCTCAGCCCTGGCCGGGATTTGTTTCTTCTTTTTTTTTTTCTTTTTTTTATTTCTGGGTCACAACCAGCGATGCACAGGGGTTACTCCTGGCTCATGCACTCAGGAATTACTCCTGGTGGTGCTCAGGGGACCATATGGGATGCTGAGAGTCGAACCCGGGTCGGCCGTGTACAAGGCAAACGCCCTACCCGTTGTGCTATTGCTCCAGCCCTCGGGCTTCAATGCTTGCAGTGACCTGGGAAAAGGCAGACAGACCAGAGTTGCCGTGTGTCTGTTGGGCTCTGGCAGCATCCTCAGGACTGTGCTCCATGGCCGTGCATCTTGCTGGGCACTCACTGTGCTCTTGAGCCCCGGAAACGTCACACCCACTGTCGCTCCTCTCTCTGCCAGGCCCTGTTCCCTTGATGCTGAGCGGCGGAGTTGGTGGGATCTGCCTCTGGCTTGCTGTGTACCCTGTGGATTGTATCAAGTCCAGAATTCAGGTTCTCTCCATGTCTGGGAAGCAGGCGGGCTTTGTTGGGACCTTTATCAACGTGATGAGGAATGAAGGTGAGTTGGTGCCATGTGGGAGGAGGGTGGGTGGGTTCTCCTCCACCACTGGCCTTGGCAGCACCTCATGCCCTTCTTCCTATTTCATCGGCTTTTTCAGACATAGCGTCAGCCCCCGTCTGTGGGTTTGTTTCCAAACTCTTCTCTTTAGTTCACTTTGTTATCCTTAAGAATGTTCTTATTAAGGCGCCAGAGAGAGAATACAGCAGGGAGGGTGCTTGCCTTGTATGCAGCTGACCCGGATTCCATCCCTGGCCTCCCACAGGGTACTTCGAGCACAGTGACAAGCGATTCCTAGGTGCAGAACCAGGTGGCCCAAAACCAAAGGAAAAAAATTCTTGTTAAAGATTCTTATTCTTTTTATCTTTTTTTTTCTTTTTTGGTCACATCTGGTGATGCATAGGGGTTACTCCTGGCTCTGCACTCAGGAATTGACCCTGGCAGTGCACAGGGGACCATATCGATTGCTGGGAATTGAACCTGGGTTGGCCGCGTGCAAGGCAAATTCTCTACCCTGTTTGTGGGTTTGTGCTATTGCTCTAGCCCTAAAGGTTCTTATTCTTAACCTCGGGATGAGAATTGTTCTTCTAAAGAGTCTAGAAGGAACTTCCCCCTTCTCCTGTAGTTGATGTGGCTACATTGATGTGCCCACATACTTGGTTGTGGTTGTGTACTCATTGGGGGTCACATACCTGGTTATGGTGCACAAGAGATTGTGCACTTTGAGACTCAAACGTCACCGTCACCGGGATCACACACGGCACATGGGCTAGTGCCAGGGATCAAACTCAAGGTGGTGTGTTTGCAGGGCAGACACTGCATCAGTGGGCTAATCCCAGGTCCCCGGGAGGACTAGTTACTGTGTGGACAAAGATGTGGAAGATAACACCATGTTTCACAGAGCACTGTCAGCAGATGGCCGTTGGAGAGGACCCACGGGTTGAAAGGAACGTGCAGCCTCCTGAAGACTGCAGGGATTTGAAATGCCCTCGCCATTCTGAGGGTGGTTTGCTATCAAGAATTATTCAGGAATGCATAATTCTGAAGAAATGTTTATCTAAAGCTGGTTTGGGCCAACTATAGAGTAAATCACATGTCCTCCTCATGTCCAGTCTGTCCCTTAGTGCTTAAGATAGCTTTTTTCAACGAATGGCAGGTGGAAACTTATTTGTATCTCAAATAGAGCACACACACTTTATCCAGTCCTGACTCTAGCCCCCCCTTTAAGTTTGCATAATTTTAAACATAGTTTATACAGATGTACTTTAATTATGGCTGGAGCGATAGCACAGCGGGTAGGGCATTTGCCTTGCAAGAGGCTGACCCCGGTTCAATTCCTCCGTCCATCTCTGTGAGCCCGGCAAGCTACCAAGAGTATCCTGCCTGCACAGCAGAGCCTGGCAAGCTCCCTGTGGCATACTTGAGATGCCAAAACCAGTAACAACAAGTCTCACAATGGAGACATTACTGGTGCCTGCTTGAGAAAATCAATGAACAATGGGAGGACAGTGCTACAGTGTAGTGCTACTTTAAATATATATAAAGTCCTGATCTCTTCATTAGCCAATTTGTTTTTTTTTTTTTTGCTTTTTGGGTCACATCTGGCGATGCACAGGGGTCACTCCTGGCTTTGCACTCAGGAATTATCCCTGGCGGTGCTCAGGGGACCATATGGGATGCTGGGTATCGAACCTGGGTCGGCCACATGCAAGGCAAAAGGCCTACCCGCTGTGCTGTCACTCCAGCCCAGCCAATTTGTTCTTTATGACCCTGGGTTGCACTTACGGAGAAAGTTCTCCAGCAGCCTCAATGGCAGGTCCTTGGAAACTGAGTCACAGTAAAAGACATGAAGAAGCCTCCTCTCCCGCAGGCTAAGTGTTGTAAACTAGAGTTCAGTTCCTCTGGCGCACTCCTAATTATGGGAAGCACCACTTCCCTGTGTAGTAAAGACACTTCCCGCGTGTGTCCTCCTTCACGTTCCAACCTGCTTGTTCTCATTCAGGCTCAGGGGTGTTTGGTCACTGTGGCTGCAGCCTTGGGGTCCTGAGGTGAGAGCCAGGCCTGGATCGGATGCCCTCCTACCTTGGGCACGTACATACACCTGCCTCACTTACACAGGGTCAGCTGACACACCAGGGCATGTGTCATCCTTGGGGTGTGGTGGGAAATTCACTGGAGAACCCAGGAAAACCCTGCACAGATGTGGGTGGGGGTGAGGGTGGGGTGCATGTGCCGCCTCCAGCCGGCAGCCCTGCCTGTAGCTCTCCCCGGTCTGCTTCACTGAAGGAAACACGCTGCATTAGCAACAGACTCTGGCTTCTGTGTGGATGCCCTTTGCACTCAGGAACAGGCGAACAGCAGTGCCCTGACCTGGCCTTGCCATTTCTGCCCCATTCATTCATCAGCCGGCTGCTGAGTGCTGTCACCTGAACGTACCTGGCATGTGTTTCCATTAGTGTGACGTCATTCGCCCGGGGAAGCCTGGAAGAGCCTTGCTTGTCTCGTTGGTTTTTTATCGCACACCTCCTGCTGCGTGAAGCGTGCGAGTATCAGCGTGCAAGGCTCCCAGGCTGGGCTCCAGGGAGAGCAGCTCCGTCTCTGAGCACTGTTTTGTCTTCTAGGAGTAACCGCTTTATATTCTGGGCTGAAGCCTACGATGATCCGCGCCTTCCCTGCCAACGGCGCCCTGTTTTTGGCCTATGAATACAGCCGGAAGCTGATGATGAGCCAGTTTGAAGCATCCTGAAATGTTCCAGGCGGTCCGTGATCCAAGTACAGACATTTGATCTCAGGGTTTCAAGAAGTGCAAGACCAATGTGGAGTGACTTTGATTTTAGAGGGAATTATTTTTTTGTCTTTCTTCCACCCTAATCGTAGACTTTATGAAAGGACCTCTAACACAATATGTAAAATTTGTGCCCACGATTGTGCTGCAGTAGAAAGTTTGGCTGCTTGTGGCCTTGCTGGGATATCTAGGCTAACCACTGGCCCTCGGAGCCCAATCTGAGTTACAGCTGTGTCAGGCTTTGGTCTAAACTCGTGCCTGTATCTGCAGTTTGAATGGCTCTGGGTTGTGAGGGAAGCCCAGTTGGTTCCATATTTAATCCCACACCTCATGAGGTAACGTGTCAAAGATTACCATGTCTCATGAAGATGGTTGCAAAGGATTGCATAACCCATTCCGGGTCTCGTGGTTCTTTTTAAAAATCTGCTGAACGTGCGTGTGATACTAAATGGTGTGTTTTTTTAAAAGAGTTTCCTTGTGGTTTCCTTCCTTTAAGTCTGACACATCCGCCTGGGTTTGAAAGAGAAGTCAGCTGTGTACGGGTGCGTGTCCCGTGTTCTCCATCTCATTTGGAGAAGGCATCCCGGACATCCCCAAGACGCTCTCCTGTTCGTTCAGACAGTGCCACGCTGCTTCTCAGGGGAGCGTCCACCACCACATCAGAGCATCACACTTTTTGGACAAGAGCAGGGCCTTCACTTCCAGCTTCCCCCTTTCTTCTCCCAAACAGTTTTTCAGTTCTGGGGTTCAGGTCAACGGGATGGGGGTTGGCAGGGATGGGGACTGAAGACCCTCATTTTGCCCTGACCTTGTTTCTGGGACCCGTGACCCTGTGGGGTTCTGGGTATCCCACTGTATGATCTCTGGCCTGTGGACCTCCTCTCAGCCCGTGTTCATTGCCTCCACCAACCTGTGGTCCTTCTGGGGAGTGGCGTGCCAAAGCCGAAAGGAACCCCTGCTTCCTGTCTGGGGACCGAGTGGCAGTGCTCCTGGGCCAAGATCTGTCCCCTGAGAACGAAACAGAAGCTCGTGTCCGTCTCCGCCCTGAGCTAGGTCGGCGCCGACCCATTCTGAAATTTATCTCATGGGGAGGGGGGAGTGGAATCTCTCCCTAACTCCTGGCGTCTTCCATTTGGTCCTGGTACTGAGGGAATTTTAATGATGACTATTTGTAGCGTGTGAATTTATAAAGCAATGAAATAAAAGTGATTTTATGAAGCTTTTAATAAAATGATTTTTATCAAGCCTCTGCCTGACAGTCACAACAAAAAACTCCAGTCAGTATACTTCTCACGCGTGGGGACGGGCAACTGCTCTTCTGGCCTGCGGGTGGAATGTGAGCTGGGTCTGTTGCCCCCCCCCCCCAACTCCTGAAATCACCCTCAGTCCAGGCAGCTCCCAGATAGGCAAGGGCTGCCTGGAGGGTGCTCCCCTGCCGCACTGTGTCTGCCTAGACAGCACCATGCTCTCCCCCCTAGCTTTGCCCTGTGCAGTGTCTCTGCGGTAACCAGCCCGTTGCCGGAGCAACACAGCCAAGGGTGGGTGAGGGACAGGGCTGGCACTGGGGGCTAGAGAGCTTTGGCTCGTGCCCACTTGCCTTTTCCGGGGCAAGGAAAACATTCCTCTGCCTTTTCTTTCCAGACTTCTCTGGCTGGGAGCTCTGAGTGGGGCTTGGTGTCGGCCGCCCCAGGACTGACTGCCAGCAGGAAGCCAAGGCCAGGGAGCACTGAGCAAGGGTGGTTAGCAGGTGAACGGAAGGGAGGGTGGTGGGGAGGACCCGAGACCTGGCCCGGGAGAATTCTCTCTTCCTTCTGCTTGCTTGATTCATGGTTCAGAATTTGAACCACAGGAGTGGCCGAGATTAGTACCAGGAATTTTGCTCCATGACTTGGAGGCCAGCCATATGTGCTAGGGGAAAAGGAAGCTCAGATAGAGAAGGGAGCACCAAATAAAGGGTGTTGGGAGGATCCTCCCAGGATGGGAGAAGCACACTGAAAGTAGACTATAGACCAAACATGATTGCCACTCAGTGCCTCTCTTGCAAACCACAGGACCCAAAAGGAGAGAGAGAACAAAAGGGAATGCCCTGCCACAGAAGAAGGGTGGGATGGGGGAACGGGGGGGAGGGGGGAGGGATGCTGGGACCCGTGGTGGTGGAGGATGGGTGCTGGTGGAGGGATGGGTACTTGATCACTGTATAACTGAAACCCAAGGACAAAAATTTGTAAGTCTATAACTGTACCTCGTGGTGTTTCACTAATTAAAAAAAAAACAGAGAGAGAGAGAGAGAGAGAGAGACTATTAATAGGCTCATCAGGAAATTGTCAATTCTAAATGGATACTGGAAGACATAAATAAATTAGTACTAGTGTTGATTTAAAAAAAAAGAATTTGGGTACAGTGGATATAGCTTTTCTGACAAGCTACTGAGAGTATCTCACCTGCACGGCAAAGCCTGGCAAGCTACCCATGATATATTTGATAAGCAGGCAAAATTCAGCGACTTGACATGCTATGTTTAAAGAAATCCCACTGTTCCTTCATCACTGTTAATATCCCAAACTCGGGAAGATGAGTTATTTGAAGTACTTGACATCATGGCTAAGAACCAGTTGTGAGGTTCATTGAAGAATTCAGGAGGGTCTGCTGTGGGGAATTTTGATTTTTCTTGTCTTTAATATAAAAAATCATTTCGTTTTAGGTACATTGACACAAAGGCACATTCTCTGTCTACATAACTACAGTTCTGAAAATTGACCCACAAGAATTCTTTCTCTACTAGGTTCTGGATGTGATGTGACTGGGCAAAATGCCATTCTGTTTAAAATTAATTTTTTTTTGCTCTTAGGTATTGGCTATTTTTATCTCAGGTTAATATATTCTATTCAGGAAAACCAGGATTATGAAGTTATAATAAAAATTGCTAGAAGAGTTTTAGGAGTGATTCACATTGGGTTCTAGGCCCTAAAACAATAAAAGTTCTTTTTTAAACTTTTAAAAATTTTAAATGTAGGAATACTACTATTCAGCCATTGATTAAGCTGATTGAATCAGGCACAAATAATAAAAGCTCTTTGTTTATTGTGAGCAAACCCAGGAGAAGGCAGGAACTTATAAATGCTTGAGGTTTCAGTGCACTTTGGGGGATCAGAAGGGAACCCCACTGCAGTCTTGGTGCTGGGGAGAAAGCTCAGAAGACTGCAGTGCATCCCTGGCATGATGGGCCCCGAATTTCATCCCTGGCTCTGGCTGTGGCACTTCTGGCCCCCAGCCCTGGTACACTGACCTGACCCCTGAGCTGGGCTGAGTCTCGCTTAGAGTGGCAGTCCAGCCCCCTGGGAGGATGCCCGTCCCCCAGCCCGCAGACATGATGCTTCAAGAATGGGCTTTCCATGGTGCGACTAGTGTTAAAGAATCGTGCTCTTCACAGGGGCCCTTCACTGAAGCCGCCACTGAATCCACCCAGTCTAGGGTATTGCTGCTGGGCCTTAAGGCTGATGAGACCAGCCTCTTCTGCCACGACACAGGGCCTATAACCACCAGGAGCCGTACCAGAGTTCTAATGTGGTGGAACTTAGAAGCGCACTCCTCTGGGATCTGCCAAGGCAGGCCAGGTTGGGGAAGTTGAGGCGCTTGTCAGGAAAACAAAATCGCTTTAGTGGAGCTTCTATCCTGGCAGCTGATCCCTTTCTGTGGGGTCTTTTGAAGGGCCAATAAAGGTCACCTGCACCCAGGCCGCCTCCAGGGCTGCACAAGCATTCTCAGCATTCATGACCTCAGCTTGGAACTCCAAGCTGAGGAGTTCCTCTGTGCCACCCTGGTGCCCACCAGCTCTTCTCTAATAGAAAATTTGCTCCATCCCCCCCTTCAAAATATGTGCTGAGGCCACCGCAGCCATTCTGAGCTGCCAGCCGGGGTGGTTCAGGCAGAGCTGTTGGATCGGAGAGGCCTTTGCCACCACTGGAAGAGTGCGCTTTCTGTCATGCAGGGTTTCTGGGAACAAGGGTCCACTGGTTTAACAGAGTCACAGTGGCTTCTTAGCCGCCAGCTCACTTCCTGAGGAGGTCCACTGGGGCTAAATAGTTGATAGTCTTGGCAGTAAGAAGAAGAATCACTTAAGTGAGGATAATGTCTGTTAAGCTCAGAGAGCTTAAGCTTTCAAGGGCAATTATGGCCTTTAGATACACTGGCAGTAAAGTGACTAAAACAGCAGCAGGACAGGCTCCCTGCCAGGACCACACCTGTACTTAAAATGAAAAGGGACTTTCCTTCGCAGTGTTGGTTGTGAGCAGGTGAGTTTTAAAACAGTGTCTTGCGGGACCAGAGCAATAGTACAGTGGACAGGGTGTTTACCTTGCATGAGGCCACCTGGGTTCAACCCCCAACAGTTCCCAGAGCACTGTCCTCCCGTTGTTCATCGATTTGCTCGAGCCGGCTCAGTAACGTCTCCATTTTGAGACCTGTTGTTACTGTGTTTGGCATATTGAATACATCACGGGGAGCTTGCCACGTTTTGCCGTGCGGGCGAGATACTCTCAGTAGCTTGCCGGACTCTCCGAGAGGGGCGGAGGAATTAAACCCGGCTTGGCCGGGCTGGCTTGTGCGCAAGGCGAACGCCTTACTGCTGTGCTATCACTCCAGCCCCCCCTCCCCCACCAGAGCACTGCCAGAAGCAATTCCTGAGGGCAGAGCTGGGGGTAACCCTGAGCATCACTAGGTCTAGCCCAAAAACAAAAACAAAAATGGAAATCAAAATAGTATCTTGGGTGGACTGGAGAGATAGTACAAGGGGTAGGATGCTTGTGTTAGCTCATGCCTGACCGCCGTAAATCCCCAGCATCCCATATGGTCACCTAAGCACTGCCAGGAGTAATTCCTGAATGCTGAGCCAGAAGTAATCCCCTACTACCATTGCTAGGTGTGGCCCAAAAGAAACAAAAAATAGTGTCTTGATAGTGCAGCCGTAACGTGCTCACCTTGCAAAACCTTTCTTAAGATCTGAGACTTAAGGAGCTTGAGAGACAGCACAGAGGTAAGGTGCTTGCCTTGCATGCTCCTGATCCTGGTTTGATACATGGTGCCTTGAGCACCCACAAGGAGCCATCCCTGAGCACAGAGTTAGCCCTGAGCATAGGGGAATGTGGCCCAAAGCTCTCTTCCTCTGAAATAAAATAGTAACTCTACAATTCTCTAGGAAAATATTTCCTTTGTCTTCATCACAGCATTATACAATGGCAGAAATCAACCTGGATTCTTTTTTTTTTAATTTCAAAGATTTTATTTTTTAAAAATTTTTATTAGTGAAACACCATGAGGTACAGTTGTAGATTCACAAATTTTTGCACTTGGGTTTCAATTATACAATGATCAAATACCCATCCCTCCACCAGTGCCCATTTTCCACCACCACGGGTCCCAGTATTGCAGAGAGAATATGCCCAGCTTCCTTTTGTATACGGACAGCTGTGAGGGAAGGTAACGGAACCTCGCTAAACACGAAGGATTAAGAATGCAAATTTGGGAGCTCAATTTGGATTCTTAATCCTTCGTGATATTCTATTACCTTCCCTCACAGCTGTCCGTATACAAAAGGAAGCTGGGAATATTCTCTCTGCAGTGCTGGAAGTACAGACAGAAAGGAAGAACGTGCTGGGAGACGGCTTATGTGAACAGATTTTTCTCTGAATTGACAACTTAGGTCTCTGCAGCCAGTCTGATGCTTGTTAACAGTTTGTGAGTCAGACGAAGAAGAAAAGAGAAAAGGAATCTGAAATCACAGGTGTGAAACAGAGCAGGAATACTTGGTTTTCCAAAAATACACAAGTAATGTCTGGGGGAAAGCCCAATGGTCAGATATCTCAATTCTTTTCATATGAAAGTTTTATTCCAAAGTTCATTAATACCCCTGTGTTTTGTGATCCAAATCTCAGACAGAAACTTTTCATGTGTATTCCTTAAAAAAAAAATCACTGACATCTCCCTGGTATATATTTAACAGATTTCTCAAGAACATATGTACAGATGTAAGTATGTCAGGAAGGAAGTCAGTTTCGGAGGGAGAAATGAGGAGCAGGGTGGGGAAGAACATGATTCTACCCTACAAGGGAACGACACTAACTCAGCTATGCCTTAACTGACTGATTGTCAAAGTAGACCTCAACAGCAAACTCTGGTCGGTAAACTTTCCATGTCTTTGGTTTATGGGGATTGTCCAAATCATTTCTTGAAAGATAAAGCCTAGAACA